CCGTCCTTCGATCTAGGGACCCCAGAAATAGGCGACTTTGTCAAGCCAGCCCCCTCCCCCCGCCCGACAGCTGGATTTCACCCCCAGGGCAACCAGCTGGACAGGCAGGCAGATGCGGGCTCGGCCCCCTGGCTGCCCTGGGACACACACACACGCACACACACACGCACTGCACACGGCCACAGCCACAGACCACCACGCACACCCAGTGCGGATGCTGGCTCACCCCCAGGAGGCTCACAGCTCACAGGGGAGACCTGGGCTGGACAGAACCCAGGGGAGGGTGTGTGGGGGCCAGGCCCCTGCTGAGAAGCCCGAGGGGGAATTGGGGGATGGATCCCACACTCCACACCAGATCTGGCCCTCCGGTGGGTTGGACTTGGTGCCAGCCCCTCTGCAGCCAGAGAAAAGCAGCTTAAGGCTGAGCTGGGGACGCGGTGTCCCGGACTGTGGAGGAGGGGGGACTCGGGGTTTCCCCTTGGTGGACACGGTGAGTCCTGGCGGCTGGGGCAGACCAGCAGCAGGGGACACGCATGACCTGTGCTCCTTTCGAGCCGCAGACGTCACAGTGACGACGTTTAAGCTCCTAATCTTCCCAAATCGGCGGGAAGGGATTAAGGGGGCTGCCTGCTCCTTTGCCCTTGGAGAGAGTCACTCCACGTGGACTCCTACGCTGGGCACTGGGCAGGTCTTCATATTTTTAATTATAATTTATCTTCAAGACAATTATGTGGATACTATCATCATCCTCGTCTTACAGATGAGGAAACAAATGAATTAATGCGCCCGAGTCTCCCACAGAGAGCTTCACCAGACAGGTCGGCTCATGCCCTGAAGGACAGAGCAGCCAGCTTCATGTCTAGGCCCAGCGGGGACCCTGCCTACCCCAGGCAGGGGAGGGGCTCTCCTTGAGCGCGATGACATCAGGCCCCGCCCCCAGGGAATTCCCCAGGCCGTTCTCATGTTTGGAACAAAAGGGAGACCAAGGTCAGGGGTGGTGGCTCACACCTGTAATCCCAGAACTTTGGGAGGCCAAGGCAGGAGGATTGCTTGAGCCCAGGAGTTTGAGACCAGCCTGGGAAACATACCGGGCCGGGTCTCTACAAAAAATTAAAATATCGGCCGGGCGCGGTGGCTCACGCCTGTAATCCCAGCACTTTGGGAGGCCGAGGAGGGCGGACCACGAGGTCAGGAGATCGAGACCATCCTGGCTGACACAGCGAAACCCCGTCTCCACTAAAAATGCAAAAAATTAGCC